TTCACAACTATAGCTACAATGTTCGGGGGGGGGGTTATCATTTAGAGGCAATTTATGGTCCTCCTTCACAGACCAGAAAGCTAAAGTTTTCAATTAATCAGCTGTTAATCATTGTAGCAATCATGATCTCCCACTGCAAAAAGTAACATCCTCAGGGTAGGGACAAATGAACAAGTTACAAAGAATCAGAAGGGGAGATTGCACCATGCCACAGCTGTTCCCTGCATGTCCACTCTTACCCTGCTGGGAGTGAAAGCTAAGCTGGAGTGGTTTAGTTCAGTTTGGCTGATGGAGTAAACCACTCCACTTAAAGGGTAAAAGCAGGTATACTAATAGTTACCATGGAACAAACAACACGCAGTAAAGTTCTGCCCCCTTTTAATGCTCTATAGATTACTCATGTCCATACACCCAATTTCAGGTTATCTAGATGCATCAAGCTTACATGTGAAACAACAGTACTATTAGTAGTATCCTATCCAAATGTCAGACTGACAACATCAGTGCCTAGGTAACACAGACTGAACTGCACAAACTGATATTGTATAAGGGAGCACAGTTTCATCTGCCTAAAACTTACTGTGTACAGTAGTTCCTCTGGAGTTACCGGGCTGGTGAAAATGGTGCGAAGACATCGGAGGCAAGCTTCAATGAACTTCAGATCTGGTGACAGTAAACCTGTGAATTTAAATAAATAAAAGGGTGTTGCTCAGTTTCTATCTTTCTGTTTATTTAAAACAAGTATTGTTTATATTATAAAAAAGCCAAGATACCTTGCAATAAGGCTGGGATAATATGGCAGTCTAGCAGGGATTTAACATTGTTTTCTGTACCCATCGCAAGACTTCCTAGCACCACTGCACATTCAGTTCTCAGTTCTGTGCTGGAGGTTTCTTGCTGGAGCAAATACAGCAACCTGTAGGCAGAATTATTTACAGAAGAACATTTCAAAGTGAAGAGAGCGAATAATGGCATAATGTGAAGTTCAGCTGCAATCTGCCACATGAAAAGTACACAACTCCTCTCCCTCTTCCCCCTTTAGGAAAAGCCAAAAAAGATGGTAAAAACAATCATGCTATAACAATCATTCAATTTTTTTTTATTTTCACCATAAATGCTTCTTATATAAATCCAAGTCTTATAAATGTGACTTTCCACTGTCATGGAGAGCTAATGTGTTGCTTCATTTTTTTTTAGAAAAGTAGCAATACAACATTGTTGATATACTGGAAAGCTTCCTACCAGATACTGGTACAACACAAAAGATTACAAATATAGGTAGCAAATTCTGAGGAATTTTGCTCACTTTAAATCAATGCCCCCACGTATTATTCCCAAATGGCTACATTAATTAATCACCAGAAACTCTCCTAATCTTGCCTGGAAATCAGCCTTCTCTCAACAAGCAATTAACTAGACTGGACTGGACCATCAAGTATTGCTAACCCATTAGCATTAATAGACATAACTCAATGGTGAGAAGGATATCAATGTCTAACTATATAATATTGGCATAATATTGGCATCAACAGTTTTTTGGATGAAAGTTCTCATATAGCAGGATTTGTAAGCCAGTAAGTGACATTATTCAACACCGACAAGTGCAAAGTGATGCACCTGGGGAG